TTTTATCTCGTCATCCATGGATTTTCGTCATTCAGTCTTATAGTCTCTATGTTCTTCCTCAAGTACCTCACTTGCAGAGATTAAGGCAAAAGTTATAAGATCTGCATAACCAAGTCTTTGAGGTGGCTTGATGACTCTTCTCGACCTATCTCTTGCCAGTAGGTAGTCATCGACAATTTCCTAAGTCTCTTCAGCATCTTTCTCTTCTTCTTCGACTTCATCTGGGTTATGCACTTCAGCATCACTATGCTCTACCTCAACAGGAATCTCTACCTATTCTAGCTCATCTTCAGAGATTTTTGCACTTTAACCAGCATCACCAGTTTTCTTGAACGCCATCTAGACTTCATTGAAAACTACATAACGACTTATGATACATCTTCTGTGACCTGGTTCTAGACACCATAACATATAACCTTTAACTCCCTCAGGATATCCGAGGAACATGCATCTCAAAGCTCTAGGTTCGACCTTGTTTTGCTTAATGTGAGCATAGGCTAAACAACCAAATACTCTCAGTTTGTCGAGATCTGGTGGTTGACCCGACCAAACTTCTTCAGGTGTCTTCATTCCCAAGGCAGTCGAGGGACATCTATTTATCAGATAATTTGTTGTCCAAACAGCCTCTACCCAAAACACCTTCTTCAATCCAGCACTAACCAACATGCATCTAACTCTTTCAATGATTATTCGATTGATTCTTTCAGCTAAGCCATTTTGTTTAGGTGTACCTGCTACAGTCTTATGCCTTGCAATCCCGGACTCGACAAAGTAGCTGTCAAAAGCTTCATTTCAAAACTCAAAGCCATTATCGGTTCTCAACCTCTTGACATTTTTTCCAGTTTGAGTTTCGACTAAAACCTTCCAACTTTTGAAATTCTCAAAAGTTTCATCTTTAGTCTTCTGAATGAATACCCATAACTTTATGGAATAGTCATCAACTATGGATAGAAAATACCTTGCACCTGAATGTGAAGGATTCCTTGCAGGCCCCCAAAGATCAGCATGAATGTAATCAAGAGGTCCATGTGTTCTTTGTTTACCTTTGTTAAACTTCACCCTACATGATTTTCCAAATACACAAGGTTCACAAAACTCCAACTTCTCAACTTTGTCACTACCTAGCAGGTTCTGTTTTCCCAGTTCGACCAGGCATCTTTCGCTGATATGGTCCAATATCATGTGCCATAGTTCTGTCTTCGACACTGATTTCGTGGATGCAAAATCTGCTGAGCCACTTACAACTTCAGCCTCAAGGATATACAAGCCTTATTTCATCACGCCTCTCAAGACTTCCTTCGACCCCTTCATGACTTTCAAGATACCTTGCTTTCGTTTGAAGACATATCCTTTCTTGTCGAATTCACCAAGAGAAATTAAATTCCTCTTAAGATCAAGTACATACCTAAGACCAATCAATAGTTTTATTGACTCATCATTGAACTTGAATCTCACATATCCAATACCTGCAATCTTGCGAGCTTTATTCTTTTCCTATAACAATGATCTTCCATCTTGATCACATAATTCTTCAAACACATTCTTGTTTTGAGTCATATGCTAAGTACATCCTGAATCTATAATCCACTCTTTGCGAGAGTTGCTGCTCGAAACCACAAGAACATCAGATGATTCATAATCATCTTTCACAATAGCTGCATTGTCATTGTCCTTACCTCCATGATTATTCAAGCGCTCAGGACACATATTTCTTGTGTGACCCTCCTTTTTACAGTGATAATACCTAATACCAGAAATATCACCACCATAAGGCTTCTGCTGAGTTTTACCTTTCTTTTTCTTGAAACTGCCATCTCTTTTCGAGGTTTTCTTTTAACGAACAACCCTTCGCCAATTGATGATAGTTTCTGCTTCTTTCTTTCATTCAAATCCTTAAAATACAAGGCTGCTTGAACTTCTTCAAAGGTCAGTGACTCTCTTCCATACAAGAGGGTTTCTTTGAAGAGAGCATGTGACTTAGGTAAAGAGCACAACAATAAAAACGCTTGATCTTCGTCACTGATGGTAACATTAATACTTTCAAGATCAAGAATCGGCTGGCTAAATGTATCTAGTTGCTCCGTCCACTTTATCTTCATTCATCTTGAATGAATACAACTCTTGCTTCAAGTAAAAACGATTCACTAAGGATTTTGTCATATACAATCCTTCGAGTTTTAACCAAACACCAGTTGCAGTCGTTTCCTTCAAAACCTACCTGAGAACCGTATCACCAAGACTCAGAATAATGGTACTGTGAGCTTTCTCGATCATCGTTGTCTTATCCTTCTCCATCAATGCAGCATCCATGACTTCTTCTCCCTTTAATGCTTCTAGCAAACTCTGTTGAACAAGAAGGGCTCGCATCATCAAACGCCATAAACCGAAATCATTAACTCCGGTGAACTTCTCAATTTCAAACTTTGTTGACAGCATATTTCTCCACGCTCACCGCACCAGTTTGTTGTAACAAACAATACTAATTAATAAATAAATCTTTGAGAAACAGAGTGTCTTAATGAACAATGAAATGGTTAGGTTAACACACACACACACACACACACACACACACACAGAGAGAGAGAGAGAGAGAGAGAGAGAGAGAGAGAGAGAGAGAGAGAGAGAGAGAGAGAGAGAGAGAGAGAGAGAGAGAGAGAGAGAGAGAGAGAGAGAGAGAGAGAGAGAGAGAGAGAGAGAGAGAGAGAGAGAGAGAGAGAGAGAGAGAGAGAGAGAGAGAGAGAGAGAGAGAGAGAGAGAGAGAGAGAGAGAGAGAGAGAGAGAGAGAGAGAGTAGAATTGGGCAAACTGTATTTTTATTCACTTGCTCAATTAGGGTACAAATGATTACATGTGAATAATAAACAACAAGTTAACCTAAACAATTGGATCCAAGAAACAAGGCTCAATTCGACATTACATACAAGAACTAACTTCGACTACAGCATGTGAACCCGCTTTAACTTCATGCTTGTTTCCTGTCGAAACATGAAGAAAAAAAATTCCATGCTGACAACATCTCAGTCGACAACACTAAAGTTTGATCCAATATCTCACATTATTAATACAAAGGTTTGCAAGCACTACAAGAATTGTGTTTTACCTGTCATTGTTTTACCATCTTTCATCAATTCATTCCACTCGATTCTTCTTCGTTCTGTTTCGATTGAAATCGTCTATGGACTCTTCTTCGGTAGAGAATCTCTTGATAGAGTGTTCATTTTCATCACCGCTACAAGCAATGCCTCTCAAATCAGGAACATGATATAACTCCAATTTTTTCGCCAACCGGTCCATCATATATGATATAAACTGATGTCTTCTTCACAAGGAAACTATTTTCAAAAACAACGACCTCCCCTTTGTTACCGGGTGACATACTTGATACTATCCTCTGCCCCTCTTCATCTTCAAGAGATACTAATGTCTCTCTCTTATAAAGCTGAATGGTATTCCTTGTGTAATTTTTCACTAACACCATTTTAAGTCCATCGGATGCTACGCCATCTGAAGTGGAAGTATAGACAATGCACATCATTATATTCAAGCTATGCCCTTCCACTCGAGGCACATGAAAAGTTACAGAAGAACCTTCAGAATTAAAGGTTAACCAATTTGGATAACCATTACCAGGGAGAAAAAGGCCACCACTCCCATTGACATCCATATTCTGTAGAATTAAAAATAAGTTCAAAATTTAATTGACAAGTATATTAATACCACCTTATCAACAATAAAGGTATAATTGTCCTCATGAGGTAACTCATAATATTTTAAATTTTAAGTTTTTCAAAGTTACTCAAAAATATTTTGTTGGACTCATAAAACAGAATATTAGTCCCACTTGAAATAATAATAATGAAAAACGGTATCACTCTCTAAAATTTTGAAAAATGTAAGGGTGTAACAGTTTCTATTTCTATAAATAAAGTTCATACAAATGATGTCACAACTCTACATGCCACCAAAAGCAAAACTCATATTCATGGATTACTTGTAATCAATACATAATAGAACTAGCATGGAAGATGCAAACTCATATCTTCTTATGGGTAAGAAGTCTTTGTTGTAAAAGTCCAGTGTCACTGTCAACAAATGACAACTCATCATTTGCATGACTTTTAAGGCAGTTATGAGCAAAGTCCGATATTTTTAATGACAAACACTTACAATTGGTTGAGAGGGTTAAAGCTATTTACGTTGTCAGTGCACAATTAATTCCTATTTTGTTCATAAGGTGTCGGCTCAATGGACAAAGTTGTGAAAAGAATGCGGCGATGAATGCAATGAAAGCCTAGCCACAAGTTGATGATACCATGTGAAACTACAACTCATGCACCATTGAAATGAAAAATAAAGCTTGCATCATAAGAAAGAAGATGAAGGATTTGTATATTCACAACTGAATTGTAGCGTTACTAGGCATCAAGTATATATAATGATCTAGAGTTAGTTACATTCTAACTAACTCTTATAACCAACTAAAACTACTTAACTAATGATTACAGATGTAACTTGCACACCAAGAAAGCTCACTATGTGCCTTGCTCGTCATGCTTAACATTAGTAGCACCAGTCTTCTAGCAGCACCAATACAAGGCTTGCAGGCACCATCAAGGTCAACTATAGTGGCATACACGTTCCATATGCAAGCCAAAATTTCAGCACCACCCTCTGAAAAATCTGATGCGGTATCAATTATTACTGCTGTACTGCAACTTTGCCAATTAGAGTCACCGATCAGAGTTACAAGTTGGTACTTATCTTATCTTAAAAAGTTGGTAAAACAATTAGAGTCACCTACCAAAAACTAGATATGACACAGAAGAATTGTAACATGACAAATTAGAATCTGTCACATCTCTTTGGGAATACAAAAATTTACCATGGATATAATCTAGAAACTTCATCCAAAAATAGAAAACAATTTTTGTCAATACAAAGCTTTGCCAGCACTACAAGAATTGTGTTTTACCTGTCATTGTTTTACCATCTTTCATCGACTCATTCCACTCGATTCTTCTTCTTTCTGTTTCGATTGAAGTCGTCAATGGACTCTTCTTCAGTAGATATTCTCTTGACAGAGTGTTCTTTTTCATCACCTCTACAAGCAATGCCTCTCAAATCAGGTACATGATATAGCTCCAATTTTTTGTCAACCGGTCCATCATATATGAGATAAACTGATGTCTTCTCCACAATGAAACTATTCTCAAAAACAAAGACAATCTCCACTTTATTACCGGGTTCCATACTTGATACTATCCTCTGCCCCTCTTCATCTTCAAGGGAGGCTAATGTGTCTCTCTTATAAAGCTGAATGGTAGTCTTTGTGTAATTTTTCACTAACACCATTTTAAGGCCATAGAATGCTATGTCATCTCGGGTGGAAGTATAGACAACGCACATCATTGTATTCAAGTTATGCTCTTCCACTTGAGGGACTTGAAAAGTTACAGAAGAACCTTCAGAATTAAAGGTTAACCAATTTGGATAACTATCATCGGGGAGAAAACAACCACCACTCCCATTGACATCCATATTCTACAAAAGTAAAGATAAGTTAAAAATTTAATTGACAAGTATATTATTCAACATTTAAGATATAATTTTCCTCACGGAGGTATTTCTCATAATATTTTGGATTTTAAGTTTTTTGAAGTTACACATGAATAGTTGTTTGGAATCATAAAACAGACTATTAGTCCCACTTCAAATGATACTAATGACAACTCGTATCACTAAAATTTATAAAACTGTAAGGGTATAACAGTTTCTATTGGTATAAACAAAGTTCATGCAAATGATGTCACGACTCTGCATGCCACCAAATGGATTACTTGTAAATCCAAAATATTATATAACTAGCATGGAAGATGCAAACTCATGTTCTTCTTATGGGTAAGAATACTTCAAGGGACGAAGTTTAAATCCCCCGACGGTTGTTAAATGGTCATTAGTAACCCTTTAATCCAATAAAATTACTCACTTTTAAAGTTAAATTAAAAAATATCTTACATGCATTTTTGGAGGCAATCTTTACCTTAGAAATTGGTTTTGTAGGGTTGAGTTAAGTCCAACCACAATTCTAAATTGGTATCAGCGTGAAGTTTATCGTTCCTTGGGCCACCACCTATCAGGTTTCTACTATCGACTCACGTACCATTTATATATATGCATCAAGAATAGTGATAGCAAATTTTGTGAAAATTTGGTTATTAGTGCTGGTGTGAGGAAGTGTTAAGAGTCTCACATTCGATATATGGTATGGTTTTATAAGGTTGAATTAGGCCCAACCACAATTCTAAGAATAAAGAAGTTATTTAGTATCAAATTAGGTGAAACCATGTCAAAAAAATAGAACATATTTTTAGAGAAAAAAAAAAGGAGTAAGGACAATAGGTCTTCCACACACTCGCACATATGTCATGTAAGTCGTCCATGACTGACCGATACCAAAATTTGTGAGAATTTGGTCATTATTTTAATTCAAAGTATTTTACACCTTTAACAAATAATTGTATAGACCTACATATTTTGTTATTTATATACAAGAATTCAAATGTATGCAGTGATACACATATATAGAAAGACATAAAAAGGGTGGATAGAGAGTCTGTCGAACCTGTAAAATTTTCTCTTTCAGAATATTAGTGACTTGGCAATTCATTCCCATTTGAATTAAAAGAGGCTTCGAGTAATGTTTTGATCCTGAAACATGCATTAGACTACAACATTGAGTTAATGTTCGAGTAGTACTATTTGATACTTGTGATGTAGTATCTGTTGATTCCAAATCCTTAGAACCTATGGCATATAAAGCATCCAAAACTATTTTAGCATGTGAAGAAAGTTGATCTTCAGATTTGCAATCCATCCAAATACTACGAATCCATGGAAGGTGGTAAGAAAAGTATGATGCATCGTAGGAATTATTAACAACTGGAGCAACAAGCGATGACGTGGTAGCATGTGTCTGAAGTGGTGATGACCTCCAAGAGCAAATGATAGATGGAAACACCTCACATGAAAATTTTTCATAGCCACACAGAGATATATATCCAATGCTTTTGGACCTTAGCACTAAAAAGGGCACTTTGGCTTCAGATTCTTTAGATGCTATCTGTGCAAAATCCTCTTCAAACTTTTCAATCTTTAAACAACCAGAAAAAAGGAGAGTTTTCAGAGATTTCAACTTATAGATGCTTCTTGGAAGGCTAGATAGGCTAATACAGTCTTCCAAATTTATCAAAAGAATTTTATTGAGATTTCCAATGGTATGAGAAACCTCAGATAACAATGGACAATCTTTGAGTACTATCTTTTCAAGATTAGGCATGTTCGAAAAGTCAGGGGTTCGTGTGAGACGGCGAGAATGACTAAGATTGAGAATTTTCAGCTTATCCATCCTCTACAAGAACATAAATATTATTGATTAACTTAGGAGAGCCTTCAAAAAGCAAATGGAAAGAATTATGATATATCACTAAGCATAAGAACTGAAAATAGCATATAATATTGCTTAAGTTATTAACCCGTGTCTGACAATTCTATTAAGACTTCATAAATTTGAAATTTGAAATGTAAATTTAAAGTTTTTCAAATCAAATAGTAAAATAAGCAACCATTTTTGCCCCTTCTTTTTACTATATCAAAGTATTTGCACAACATTTAGGTGGTAAATTTGCAACTATATGTTTGACCTGCAGTAGTTGTAATAGCTTTCATGGTGTACACTAAATATTTAGGTAAAACCCACTTTATAAGTAATCCTAATATCTAGAAAATTTTATTTTGATTCATGCAAACTTCCTTACACTATCATCCAATTATATATTGCAAAATGTTTACAAAAAGATTTCATTATCACAAGACAACAAGGACTAAAAAATTATTTATTACCAAGAAAAGTTGTGATGTTAAAATTTAAATTTAAAGAAGAAATATGAGAAGTGATAATATAATAACTCATGAAGTGTGAAAACCTAAAATAAAAAACAATACCATAGTTTTATTCCACCGAAAATCAACATTACTGTTCTCTAACTCGATGGAAACCAAATTCTCTCGATAGAAATTTGTAGGTATGTGACATAATCCACTCCATGACAGCCATCTGAGATCTCTTGAAACATATTCAAAATCTCCATCAAGTTTTACCTCAACAAGTTGAAGCAATCTAAGTCTTTTCATCTTTTTAAATGCTTTGGTGCTAAAACATTTTGCATTTGCACTAGGCAACTTCAAAGCAAGTCCCATAACACTTTTTTTTCCCTATCAAATATAATGGACCAAAAAGCAAAAGCAATTAAAAAAAAATTAAAACAACAAGGCAGGTATAAAACTTGCCATGAAAACAGTCATTTGTTACTAGCTAGAAGTAAGGAAGCTCAAAAAGATTCACAACCAAACTAATTTTCAATGATATCGTCATAATCAACAAAGCAAATAGATGCGTACAACTATAAATGTTTCTTTTAACTTCTTAAGCTTTAGATATTTTTAACTCATAATTAAAAAGAATGAAAAGAAAGTATATTAAGTTCTTACAGTTTGTCTTGATAATATGTCAATCACATGATCCTGAGACCACAACCTGCTACGCTTTTCAGGCACTTTTGGTGATTCCTCGCGAATGATTTCTCTTCCCATATCTCGCAACAAATCATGCATTCCAATCATGTTCTTATCATCAACAGTCACAAGGCTACGCTCAGCGAGGATGTTTATTCCAATTTCAGCAGAAAGTCCACAGTCATTTAGTATAAGTATAACATCACTTCGGTCCATTCCAATAAAGAAACAAGCTATGTCAAGGAATATTTCTTGCTCATCATCGTCATTTAAACCATCATAACTTATTCTTAACGTCTTATACACTTGACTATTAGGAATTCTTTTGAGTTTCTCCAGTACAAGTTCCCAATCCAATTTTGTCTTATTAAACAAATATGACCCTAGGACTTCGAGAGCTAGCGGCAATCCCCCAGAATATTCAACTACATTTCTTGAAATTCTATCAAAATCTTCTGTAGGACTTGCTTGCTTAAATGCATTCCAACTAAAAAACTCGATTGATTCACTTTCATTCATTATTGTCATTTTGTATATATTGTCAACTCTCCCTTTAAGTAAATGCAGATCTCTGGTAGTGATGATTATTATACTCCCTGGACCAAACCATTCACGACTTCCACAGAAAGTATTAAGTTGCTCTATCGTACTCACATCATCAAGTATAATAAGCACTTTTTTTTTACGGAGTTTAGATTGTAATGTGTTTATTCCAGAACCAATGTGTGGTATCTTGATTGTCATTTCTTTGAAGATATCAAATAGAAGTTGCTCTTGTAAACCCACAAGTCCCGCAATTTTCTCCCTACTTTCCCTAATATTCGCAATGAAGCTCCTACCTTCAAAATTGCGGCCAACTTTATTGTAAATGGCTTTTGCAATGGTTGTTTTGCCAATTCCCCCCATGCCCCACATCCCTAGTAGTATAACTTCATTTGATTGAATGGGTAGAAGTTGAATGACATCTTGCACTCGAGATTCAACTCCCACGGGATTATGCGCAATAAACAAGTCTGTCTTGTTGAGCAAATGTGAAACTTTGTCAACAATTCTTTTGATATCCTCACTTTCATTCCTACACAAATAGAACTTATAGATATGTATACACAAATACAAGGTATCTATCTATACATAGAGTAAAAAAGTTACCAACCTGGAGTTAAGTATTACAAACCCTGCAATGCTAGCTGCCTCACGAAGTGTTTCTCTCCAACTTAACAACAACTTCTGCGCCTGCCCCTGGTCGATTTCCAGCTCGTTTGTAATTTTGTACAAAAGACGTTGAAAAGCTGCTCCAAACTTGCCTCTCAGATGGCGTACTTCAGACGGATCTAAATGGTAGAACACTGGAACAACCACCTGCCCTAGGGTTCTGCGACACTCCATTATATTCATCAACTCATCGAGACACCACCGCGAATCGGGATAATTAATTGAGAAAACAATTATAGAAATCTGAGACTGCTGGATTGCTAGTGATAAAGATGCTGAAATGTGATCTCCTCTTTGAAGGTCAATATCGTCAATAAAGACAGTAATTCCAGCATTCTGAAGAGTGGTATAAAGATGTGAAGTAAATGAAGCACGAGTATCTTCTCCTCTAAAACTTATGAACACGTCGTGGATCTTTAATACTGGTTCCGGATCATTAACTATAATAATAATAATAATAAAAAGAGAGAGAAAAATAATCAACAAATGTATGGCTTCAAACTAAATTCATGTAATCTATAATTAAAAAATAATAATCAACTCATCACCTTGTGCCGCAGTTTGAAGTTGTGATTTTGATGAGGATGAGGAAGGATTTTTGTTGCGGTTAGAATATGATATCAAATTATTAATTAATTTGAATCGCATCTTTAGTTCACAACCGCTCTTTGATTTATCCGAAGGAAAAGGTCAAAAGAGGAAAACCTAATTTTGCATCGTAAAGACAATGCAGGAAGAGATCTAGGTAAGGGGTTGGTTAAGCTTAGGGAAGGTACTAGCACCCTAAACTTCTGTAGTACTCTACAGGAACCTTTTGTTTATTGTATGCTTTTTTATTTTATTATTTGTTTGAAATATATTGCTAAGGGATAGAGTGACCTAAAGACCTAAGGGTTAGTCCTAAGTTTACTCGGCAAGACGTCGCATCTTGTGCCTACATATCCTGACGGGAATGGAATCAGAGTAATTGTAGTTCCCCTCGAAAGGGAGGTTAGAAACTTCTTGACTATGGTCAAGGTTTCAATGGGGAATAAACGTATCTTAAGAACACGCTTATGTGGAGTCTTTGAAACTCCTATTTCTATGTTGAATTTGTTAATTGAAAATTTAGGGTTGAAATTAGGGATTCCACGGCAGGAAACTCTAAAACAGAGTACGGCGACTCTTTGACCTAAAACTAGGGTAAAGGGTATTTTTGTCCACGGTGGGACACCTAGGCTATTAGGGTTTTTGAAACGGTCAAAAATTAGGGTTATTGACTCGGCGGTCAAACGGCTAAACCTAATTCCTTCGGAGGGAATTCTAACGGTAAAACATGCAAACATGACAAAATATTATACGGCAAAATTAAAGTGCGGAAAGTAAAGAAAGCGTCGCGACGATCACTCGCGTAAATTACAAATCCCAAAAAAAACAAAAACAAAATAAATCGCGACCATGGCCTCGCGTAAATTACATCCATGGAACAAAATAAATTAAAATAAATATGAATCATAATCTATGTATAATCTGAGGAGAGAAACAGAGAACGTTAGTGAAAAGTTAGACGAAAATATGGCAAACATATTTTATATTAAAAGAAACACGAAAATGCAATTTGGAATTTTTATTATTGTTTTGTTAATTTTTATATTTTTTTTTTATTAAAATTTTAGTCTTAATTTTAAAAGGTTTTAATTTTTAAATAAACAAAACTTTAGTTTTAACTTTTTATCTTTAGAGAATTTTAATTTTAATTTTAATTTTTAAAAGAGAAAGTCTTAAATTAAAAAAAAACTCTAATCATAAGTTTTTTTTTTTTAAAAGAAGAAGTTTACATAAAAAAAAAGGTTCGTTAGTCTTACTTTAAAAGAATGTTAGTTTTAAAATTTTAAAGAAAGTTTTAAAAAAAAGTTTTAACCCTTTCTAACATGTTTTAATTTTTAATCTTTAAAACTTAAAAAAATGTTAATTTTAATACTTAAAAAAAAGTTTTAATTTTAGGACTGGGTTAATTTTAAGTTAGTAAAAATGTTTTCACTTAACTATAAAAGTGTTTTAAACACTGTTTATTTATTAAAAAAAATTATTAGTGGTTAGTGTTTTAATTAAGAAAAAGTTTTAAGTTTTTTACTTACTGTAATTATAATCAAAACTGGTTTTAGTTATAATTCACAAAAAGGGTTTTTAGTTAGAAAAAAAAGAAAAGGTTTAAAAAATGAAGTGAGAGTTTAATTATTTGGAAGAGGTTTTAATTGGGATAACATAAAAGCTTACATTTCAGTTGCCGGTTGGTGATGCTTTCGCTTGTTCTTCGCCGGCGGCAATGGTTCTCGACGAACTTCTTTGGATCTCTTTTCCTCTTTCTCAAATGGAGGTGATGATGATGAGCTTCGAAACTCTTCTGAACCTCCGGATCTTGACGACCGCCGTTTTTCTTTTTGTCTCCTTTTCTGATGACCTGTTCTTGATTTTCTGATGTGAATGGAGTTTCCTCCCATCACTTATGTTTATATAGGTAACAAATTAGGGTTAGCTCTAACCTAATTCCCACTTTAAAGCCCAACTTAAAGAATTAGTCAAAACTAAATTAAAACAAACTTAAAACAACTTAAAACTCTATTTATTTACTAAATATAATAAAATATTTTCTAATATTTTTAATTTTTTGATTTTTTGATGTTTTTTATGAATAATATGGAAAAAAGTGAAAAATAATATTTTTAAAAAAATAATTTAAATAAAATACGAAAATAATAATTAAATAATTAAAAAAACTATTTTTGTTATTTTTTTTTATGAAAAATAGAAAAGTTAGAACAAAAATAAAAGAAAAACAAAAAGTGAAGAAGGTGGGATTTGAACTCTCGACCTCTCACACTCACAACTCCTTACACACGGTCTCTTGCCAATTGTGCCATTTTATTCATTCAAAATAAAGTGGCACTAGAAACTATGTAAAGGTAGGACAAATTTGGGGTGCAACAGATGCCCCTATTTAAATAGCTTCACCGGATGATTTGAGCAGCGGAGACTCGAGGAATCGCGGTGAAAGGGATTTAAATACAGATAACCGAAAATTTGGCCTCTAGATGCAGTGATATGCAATGATATGGACAAAATAACACGAACTATAATGCTGACAATGCCATGAATCTAATATGATGCGTATGATGGAATGATGAATGCAAGGATGCAGACGACACGATGTCATAGGGGACAGCGCAACGAAGAATTGCATTGGGGAAGTAGACATGCGGTGGTGACAAGGTAACATAGGATCCACACGGAGACAGGACCAGGTAAACGACAAACGCTAGAGTTTTCGGGACATTCCTTGAAGAGATCGAGCGGGATCTTCAGGACTCACCGGAAAACATATAGGGAGAGACAAACATCAGAACATTTCGGAAGAACGTCGAAAAGGAGACACGTCGTATCTGGAAGAACGTCAGATAGACATGACACAAAATAGTCGATGGGTGCCAAGTAAACTGGACTTTGTCCACAAGGTAAGACGCGGATAAAACACGACCTCGGGGAGAAAAATGCAAATGGGGATAAAACACCCATGCTGCCAAGTAACTAAATTCGTCCACAAGGTAAGACGCGGATAAAACACGACCTCGGGGAGCAAAATGCAAATGGGGATAAAACACCCATGCTGCCAAGTAACTAAATTCGTCCACAAGGTAAGACGCGGGTAAAACACGACCTCGGGAGAAGAAACAAATGGGGATAAAACACCCATGATGCCAAGTAAATAAATTTTGCCCACAAGGTAAGACGCGAGTAAAACACGACCTCAGGGAAAAAAAAAAGTAAATGGGGGTAAAACACCATGATGTTAGGTAAACCCAGGAATATCTGGTAAACGGGGAATAAAACACCCGGGATAAAGGTACATGGGGGATAAAACACCCAAGGATAGAAGGTAAGTGGGGAGTAAAGCACCCAAGATAGACATGTAAATGGGGAGTAAAGCACCCAGGATAGAAATGTAAATGGGGAGTAAAGCACCCAAGATAAAAATGTAAATGGGGAGTAAAGCACCCAAGATAAAAATGTAAATGGGGAGTAAAGCACCCAAGATAAAAATGTAAATGGGGAGTAAAGCACCCAAGATAGAAATGTAAATGGGGAGTAAAGCACCCAAGATGTGCACATGTATAGGAATTATGCTATGGCATATGATCAAATGCAAATGCAGACGTCGACGACAAGACTCGACTCTTTCTGTGAGATGACAAAACTGGAGGACTGATTCCTCAACACGGAGATCACTGTCATTCTGTTAAACTGTATCAAGTTGATAGTCACTGTAGGAATGATGAATAACTGCTTGGGGATTATGCAAGTAAACTGCCCCAGGTCAAATGAATTGATAATTGCTTCAGCTGTCTGATTCGTGGAATCGACTGTTTTGTTGTATCCTCAGAGGGCTTGCCCCAGTCTGAGTCTTGAACAATTCTCTGGATAAACCAAATCTGAGAAGATATTGCCTTGAACAAATCTTGAACTGATTCTTTGACAGGATGTAAAAGGAACTTGCCCCTGATAAGATCACTTGACCAAGTTTCTCATTGTTTGAAAATTCCTTAGAGGAAAGCCAGTTTGCAAACAAAAATATTCATACAAACATGGTAATGCAAAGTTAATGCGATTTTTGAAAAATTATTTTTGAAAGATGGAAAATACATGAGTCGTTAGTCAGAACACAACGGTTCAAGACGCTCAAAGTTTAAAATAAAAGTGTATTGCCAAAATAAATGATTCGCAAGGATCTTTTGGAGTCAGGTTACGCAACCTTGTTGTAGTATACTTTCAAAATAACCTTGCTTCAATTAGGTCTTTTGAGGGTTGTAACATGGTCTGGTTCATGGTTTATGAAACAAAGGATAAAGGCTCAAAATTTATTTATACCCACCCCATCTACATGATGATCTCCAGTCCTATGCTCAGTTAACTCCTATTATGCATTCAGGTTCGTATAGATTAGGAATTGCAGTGATGGTAGCAATGATGGTTCAGAAGTCAATGGACCTATGAAAAGCAGCCACTACTTCCTTATGATATTTGGTCATTTTGACATTGAGGATTTTCAGGGTAAAGATTTAAAACTCCTCTTTGTATTATCCCTAAATTTTGCCTGAACTGTTTATTTTGAAAGTTACAGTCAGCGGGATGCCCTAGTTTTTCCTAAGTCTCCTTCATAGGTTTTGACTTAGCGAGCTTTTTCTTTTGATTTTTTTTTAAACATGACTGTCTGGTTTAATGATTACGGTGAACCATCATCGGTGTTTTTGACTTAAAAATAATCTTCGACACTTGTTTGTTGTGTGTGAAGGAAAATTGTAAGTGCGACCTTTATATGAAAGGTATATTGCATGAACACATAACCGAGTTAACTGAGAACTACCCATCCCCAGGTTAAAATTGCGGGTTTTTTTTTGTAAAGAAAGGAACTCCAACTTCTTAGGCTCGAAGGGGGTAACAAGGGATTAACTTCCTTATTTCTCCAGTGTTTGGGAGTTGAAATAATGCCTTACATCGTCAACAAGGTCTGATTGAAAGCATACTGACAGCAATTATGGGTATAACATTTTCGTCATCCTCCCTCCAATCTTAGCATACCAAAAATTCGGAAAAAAGTAAATATTTGAAAGATA